TTTACACATGTAAAATAGAATTAGATAGTTATTCTGGAGTTGATGTTTTGCAAATATTAATTACAGCTGATGAACTTGGTCTTGAGTCACTCTACAATTATACAATGAACTATTTTATTGAAAAGCATGAGGATTACATAAAAGAAAATGCAGTTAAAATTTTACAATCCATTTATTCCAACAATCAATTTATTGAATTGAAAAACATCTTCCTAAAAAAATTTTGTGAGTTAAGTGAAGAATTATTTCAGTCAAGTGAATTTAAATTATTTGAAAAACAAACTTTATTGGAAATTCTTAAAAGAGATGATTTTTACATTGATGAAATAGTTGTTTGGGAAAATATTCTTAAATGGGGATTGGCAAGACATCCAGAAATCAATAACAGCAAAGTTGAAAATTGGTCACCACAAAATTTTGTTGATATGGGTAACACATTAAAAGAATTTATTCCCTTAATAAGATTCCAAGATATTTCTAAAGAGGATTTTTGCTCTAAAATTTTTCCATATCAAAAGCTTTTTCCAGAGTTATTTTGGAATAACCTTTTACTTTACAATATAATTGCTGATAACCAACAAAATTTGAATTTATTACCATCAAGGATTCCAACACTTGAATCATTGACAATCAATCAAAATCTTACTTTACTTTTTGCAAGTTGGATTGATAGAAAAAGCCCACCATATAATTTATTCAGAGATGTTAAATATGAATTCAAACTTATATATCGTAGTAGCAGAGATGGTTTAAGTGTAGCTACCTTTCATCAAAAATGTGACAATATCAATAAAACTCTTGTAATTGGCAAAATACAAAATTCAGATCAATTAGTAGGAGGTTATAATCCACTTGATTGGAATTTAAATAATGGAGCTGAGATATATAAAAATACAACTGAAAGTTTTATTTTTAATATTAGTAATAGAAATAATATTAATTCTGTACAGTTTAGTTATGTTACCAATAATTATCAATATGCAATTTACTGCCATCCTTCATATTTAGCTATTTTTGGTGGTAGTGGTTGTGATCTTATTGTTCAAACTGGGGGCAGTATTGCTTGTAATAGTAGTAATTATAATAACATTAATATAGTAAATGATAGTAAATATGATGAATTAGAAGTATTTCAAATAATTGACAAAAAATAAATAATATTATTGTATTTTACTATTTTTAGTAGCTAATAAATTTTTTTTAATTAAAGATTATTTATCTATATTCTTCTCTCAATAGTTTTTTTTTAATGTACTATTCATAAAAAAAATAATGACCATCCAATGTAGTTAATAATATTTTATTAAGCAATAAATACTTATTACTATCATAGTAATGTTTTGAGCTCATGGATCCCTTGAAACGCGTCCTTTAGTACAGAATTTATAACTAAATCAATATCAATAAAATATATATCTCTGATTGAAGTTTTGTTTATGCAAATTTTTCTCTTAGTATCAGAAAAAAAAAATCCATTCATAATGCTATATATGTTTTCTTTTTTGGATCAATAAAGAAAAATAATCTTTGAAAAGGTAGATGAATGATACTATTATTAATAATTATTCTTATTGTACATGTATTTATAGTATTGTATTATTTGTTTCTACAATGACCATCAAAAATATTCTAGTTGGTATTACTAATGGGTAATAGGTAATAATATTATGCACTATTAATGTTGGTTTAATTTTTAAACAGATCTATCGTTGAACAATGGATTATTATTATGCGAACATCAAAGGTATTCTATATAGTTGATATATATTACTAATGGTAACAGGTAATATCATTATTAATAATAATTCTTATTTTATGTATTAATATTAATATTTGTTTTCTTAAAACGGATCTACAGTTAATTATTATTACGTGCCACCATTAATAATTCTTATGTCTCCTTCAAAAAATGGATCTATGGTTAAAGAAAAGATTTACCATCAATATCAAAATAACATATTTGGTACTAGGAATGTTAAATTGCTCGTCAGTTCAGCTCAATCCAGGTTTAGAATTCAAGCAGATTGAACTTTTTTTAAAAACAGGTTTTTGAGCAACCCCAAATTCGAAATACAAGTTAAATCGGGTTAGCTCCAAATCTGTTAACAATCAATATTGTTTTTTAGCATTCATTATTTATTTATATTCAATAAAAATAAACGTTACATTTTGGCAATTCATATTTTTATCGTAATATATATTTATCCTTGAGCATGTGGTGTTTCGAGTGGATATTAAAAATATTAAATCAAATTTGTGTTTAAACTCAGTTTAATTATGCTCGACTGAATTATAAATTTGTATTAATTTTAATATGATAGAAATAAAAATTAATAAAGGATCCCATTAGAATTTTCCCGCGACATAATTGCTATTTTAATATTAATCCTAACCTATCAACTTGCCAGTAATAAATATGCTGCAGTCGCGAATAATCTAAAGAATCCTTATATAGTAAATCGAGAAATTGAACAGCATTTGTAATAATCATCGTTAAAAGGAGTATTTGCTCCTATTTGGCCTGCAATTGCTTCGGCTTTATCCAAATATACAATATGCGAGTTGATAAAAAATGATTGTGTAATATCAAGATTAGGGTTATATAACCAGCATCAAAGAATAGATGCAATTTTATTCCTGTAAAACAACTGCATGAAATTTTAAAGGTAATTATAATTATTTATTTAATTTGTTAACAAATTTAAAAATTTTAAAACAAAATAAATGCGTTAAATTCCTTTAGTACTGGTCATGAATAAATAGTCTCCTTAAATAGCAACTCCCCTTCTTCAACCCAAAAGCAGTGACTTCGTAATAAGCAATACACATTCTCAATGTTTTTACCCATCGACAATCTTATTCCTCTGCATTTGCAAGTGAAGTATTCTGAGCCAATTATACTACAACAATTTTTTTACTGGCGGTATAAAGAGAACAAATTATTTTTGACATTATTTATTTATCATAAAAAAAGATTAATAATAACAGATTTTATATTTTTCTCTGTAAATAAATTTGACTGTGAATAAGCAACAAATAAAGCCAATAGTAACAGATTAGTTGGCGAATAATAACGATAAGCAATTATTGGTTTTTCGAGTTGCTTATTCATGGGAGTATAGGGTAATTGGATATAATGATGAATTAACGAACACTATAAGAACTCGTCCTGATTTATTTCCAGCATGTGATAAATTCTGAGCTTTTTAAGAAAAATGATTTTCTCAATCCAATGGTTATAAAACCTAATTTTGGAAATCTTTGTGGAGAATTTGAATTAAGTAATCAATTAAAGGATATTACTAGCACTGCATTTCGAATAAAAAATGACCAGCGCAGAACTTGCACAAAAATAGAATTCTTTCTTGAGTAGATGAATGATAATATACATAATTTCGTTCACAAAGTATATGAGAAATTGAAGTAATTTTATTTCATTAAATATTAAATCCCATTTTAGCAGCTGTGTTACATTATTATTATTGTATATAGTAATTACTTCATCGTAAAAAAATATATATATAAATAGTAATAGTGATATTTTAAATGGATTCAACAATTTTGGAAAAATATTTCAATGAAAATGAAAGGTTATTAAATACAGAAGATTTTTATGATGTAAAAATATATCTTGGTGTAGAACCAAACATTAAAGAAGTTCATGCACATGCATCCATCATATCTGCTCATTGTCCATTTTTTAGCAATGCATTAAGTGATGCAACAAAAGAAAATGGATACTATATTATTGAAAAAGCCAATATTAGTGAAAAACTTTTTGACCCTATTCTCAAGTAAGTTTAAATGAAATTATTATTATATTTATTATATTAACGTTAATTTATAATAATATTTATTTTATTTCTAATAATTAATAAATTTTTATTCCTTTCTCCTCTCTTCTTTTTTTCAAAAGATATGTCAATCACCTGGACCCGAATGGTTAATAAAATTCTTTGTTTTTTTCCTTCAATAAATTTTTTTTCTAACTAAATAATCATCAAATTATTTATTATTTTTGTTATTACTATTTTAGTAAATTATGGAAAACTCGACAAGAGGGAGAAATATATAATCAGGATACTAGCCTGGCGTAATGGAAATGATTTCTCATTGATAGCACGATTCCTAAAAAATCGTACGCAATTACAAGTGAAAAATTATTTTCACTCGCACAAGAGATCTATCATGAGAAAACTTGCACGAGCAAAATCACCAAATAGAAAGTTTCCAATAAATAAAAATTGGAGACCTCTTTCCTATGTTGAAAAAAATATAATCAACGCTTATGCAAGCCGGGCCGGTTACAAGGTCGATGACATTGCAGAAACGTTGGGAAATAAAAGAGATAAACATACGATTGAAATTTATTTGCATAGTACAAAAAAAGAAAACTATTTGACGTGCAAAAAAAGGTTTTTCAGGAAACGACCATTTTTCGCAAACAGAAGGAATATTAAAAACAAAATGGACATCGCTAATCTTATGAACTAGGATTTACTCTTTAATAGGGCAGTAGTAGTAGTAGATTATTTTTTTCTGTAGAAACTCGAAACTCGAAATAATTGTAAATTCTCTTTATTAATAATGATTCGTGTCTTTAATTTTTACTTTCAACTATTTTTTTTAATTTTTAAGCCAAATTTTACACATTATTATGAACTCTTTAAGAATAAATTTTTAAGAAAACATAAACCCCTAAGAGCAGCTCAAAATAGATTAATTCGTTATTGAATTTTTATCAAAATTAATATGTGCATATGTAAATAAAACTTTAGAAGAAAAAAAATAATTTCATTTCTATAAATAAAATTAAATAAAAAAATTTTTGTCAACATTAAATAATTTTTTATACAACTTGAAAAATTAATTTTCAGAATTAACTTTGGCCCCCTCAATGTCAGCCAAAACCATCTCTTTTACAAGTGATCAAAATCAACTTTATGTTTCCAACCAAGTTTATTATAAGCTTTAGTAGGATTACCAAGCAAAAGGTCAACTTAGGTTGGACGGAAGTATTTTGGATCTACGCATACGCGAACGATTCCAGCGTCAACTTCACTTCCAACCATATTTTCATCCTCGCTTTTCCAAACAATGGTTTTATTAATTACAGCAAATGATTTTTCAACAAATTCTCTAACAGTGTGAGTTTCACATCAACCACATTTCCTCTTATTATTTTTTTTTTTTTTGGAGGAAATAAATATTTTAATATATAAATTACATATCATGTGAATATATCATTATTATAAATAATAATAAATGTAATAAATGTAATATGTACTAACCAATGTAATCTCTTGTATGACCCCAATCACGCTTAGAATCAATGTTATCAAGATATATGCAACTTTGTTTATTTAAGTGAATTTCAGCTACGGCTCTAGAAATTTTACGAGTTACAAAAGTACGACCTCTACGTGGAGGCTTGTGATTGAATAAAACACCATTACAAGCAAACATATTGTATGCTTCACGGTAATCAACAACAATCCAATAGGCATAAAGTTTAGCGATACCGAGGACAAAATGGTGTGGTTTCTGACTGTGGAGTTTCTACAGCTTTGCCATAAAGCTCAGACGTGGATGTCTATAAATATATAAAGTGGTGGATAGATAAGTATATATATATAGAAAGGGACATAGATTTATTAATTATCGGTATAAGTGAGGAGAGTAGTGTAAAATA